TCTTGGGGCTGTCTTGGGGCCTGCTGGGAGGTTCCTGGGGGCCTCTTGGGGGCCTCTTGGGGTCTTCCGTGGGCCTCTTGGGCGGCGGCCTTTGGAGACTTCTTGGGAGGCTCTTTGGCCGTCCGAGGGCGTTCCTGGCCCGTCTGGTGCCGTCGTGAGGGCTTCTCTGGGCCGACTTGGAACGTTCCTGGGGCGCTTCAGGGCTGCCTTGAAGGTCTCCTGGGCCCTCTTGGGGCCCCCTTGGGGCAGTCATGGGGCCCTCTCGGGGCCGTCTTGGGGGCCTCTTGAGCCTTCAGGGGGACCCTCTCGGAGGCCTCTTGGGCGCTCTTGGGGCCATCTTCCTTCTTGGACCGTCAGACAGCCCGAAAATGAGCAAATGTCAGAGTCCTTAGCGTAAATCAATGATTTTACCCTATTCGGGTCTTCCTGGAGTAGCGGTATCGGTACCTTTTGGGTTCCCCATCAGGGCCCACCACGAGACGCTCTAAGATACCTCGGTGTTTTGTACGAGATGCAGGTCGGACATTTATGGCTGAGGCAGTCTGGCTCCAAGACGCCAGCTGTGCTTGTGTTCCTGAGGGGAGCTGCTTCCCTCGAGCCATGCTTGCACGTGGGGCTCCTGCACGCGTTCCCCAGCAAGGACTGGCCGGGCCGGGCCGAGGTGTCGGGGGGGCAGGGGGGAGGGGAGGCGGGGGGGAGGGGGGGGTAGGGGAGGGGGGGGGGGAAGGGGAGGGGGGAGGGGGGGGGGGGGAAGGGGGGGGGCAGAGGGGGAGGGGGGGAGGGGGGCTTTGCCGAGGCTTCGCCCGGCGCCCGCCCGTCGGCTGCCCGTCGTGGGCGCCGCGTGCGTCAGGGTTTGGCGCGCGGTGTTCCTGTCCTGGCCGCGCCGGCATGCTCGGGCGTGGGCCCGCCCGCCCCTGGGCGGCCTCCTGCTGCCATGTGGGCGACGGTCAACGGAGAGGAAGCATGTTGCCAAGTACTTCTCAGATGTCTGAAACATCGGGGGCGGCAAAGAGGGGGGTGATGACTAGGGGGGGGGGATATCATGGCGGGGGCCATGATGTTTCCCCAGATTTCATGGCGCCTCTTCTTCTTCTTTCATTACGTCCCTGACCCCCCCCGCTGGGCCGCGCACGTGCCGCCGGTCATGATTTGCACCCCCCCCTCTTGGACACCCCCCTCTTGGCCGCTCCCGAAAACATGCTCTCAAAATGTCCCACACATGGTAACACAACATGGCGTAAAGCATGTTTAGAATACTTCTGCTGCATGTGAAACATATTTTGATTGTTTGATTCAATGATCGGATTGTTGGACTGTTCAGTATCACGACATCCACAATTCTCGCCCCCCCCCCTCCGGCGGCCGCCCTGTCTCTCCTTCCCCCGCCCCTGCACGCCGGCCAATCCGCTTCTCGGTGCCCCCTCTTGCCTCGTCGCCGACGGGAGAGTGTGCTGTGTTTTCTCGCTCGGCTGCCCGCCCGGAGGCGCCTCGTGGGCGCCTCGTGGTCGCCAGGTGGGCGTGCCGAGGGCTCGCCTGGGTGCCCCGTGGCCGCCTCGTGGCCGCCTCGTGGGCGCCTCGTGCGCTAAGCGGCTGTGCCGAGGTTTCGCCCGGTGCCCGTCCGTGGGCGCCTCCTGGCCACCACGCGCGCGGGGCGGCCAGCAGAGCTTGCCCCACAGCGTGCGCCACAGACCGGTGCGCCGCAGAGGGTTGTGCCAAGGAGCGTTCGCCGCACAGCTTCCGCCGCACAGCCAGCTCCGCGTAGTGGCCTTACACCACGCAGCTTGCACTACATCGCGTGCACCACGTGTCCAGCACCGCAGAGATAACACCTCGTGGCTTAAGCCACGTGGCTTGCGCCGCGCATCTTGCACCACACTGATTACACCACATAGCTTACACCGCATAGGTTTCCCCACTTGGCTTGCACCACGCGTGTGTGTGTGTGTGTGTGTGTGTATATATATATATGTATTGTTTGAATCGCTTCGCTCATTCCGCCGGCCCATTTCGCATGACTGAGCCTCTTGGGGCCGCTGGGGGGCCTTTTCAGCGTCGCTTGGGGGCCTCCTGAGGGCCTCTTGTTTGCTTTTGGGGCCTCTCAGGGGCCTCTTGAGGCCTCCTGGGGGCTTCTTAATGCCGAGGGCTCGAAGTTTTGTTTTGTGTTCCCCCTTTAGGGCATCGCTTGGGGCCCTCTTGGGCCCCTCTTGGGCCGTCTTGGATGCCTCTGGGGCCGTCTTGGAGCCCTCTTGGGCCATCTTGGGGCCTTCTCGGGAGCTTCTTGGGCCCTCTTGGGGCGATCTTGGGGGCCTCTTGGGCCGTCTTGGGGCGTCGGGAAGCCGAAAAGATGGACACGCCAAAGTCTGCCCAAAACCTGAGGAAAAGTAATGAATTTTGCCTCTTGGGGCCCTCTGGGGAGTGCTCTTGGAGGCCTCTTGGGGCGTCTGGGGGCCATCTTGGGCGTCTTGGAACGATCGTGTGGCATCTCGGAGCACTCTTGAACCATCTTGGAGGGCTCTTGGCGGCCTCGTGGCCCTTCTTGGGGCTCTCTGGAGGGCCACGGGGGCGGCGCCCGTGAGGAAAACCATCTCTGACCCGAGTCTGCCGGGGATCGCCCGGGGTACTTTTCGTCCGGGGACCCCTAGGGGCCGCCCCGCGCGCGCGAAGTAGAAGTATTATTTAGCAGTTACCGGAGATCTTAGCACGCCTCTGGCCCGTTGGGCCGGCGAATTTACGTAGCACCCCGCAATTGCGGATAAGAGTGAGGGGGCGGGCGCGGGCGACGCGGGCGTCGAGCCGTTCAGTGAACGTTGTTTGGCTCGTTCAGTGAACGCTCAGTGAATATAGTTTGGGTCGCGGGTGGGTCGCGGGCTCTCTACCTCCATCTGGAAGGAATTCAAAAACAGCCCGCCGCAGGCGCCGAACATGTTGATTTGTACACTGAACGCGGTTTGGGTCGCAGGTTCTCCACCTGGAACGAATGCAAAAGAAACCCGCCGCAGGCGCCGAAGTTTTGGCTTGTTCAGTGAACGTAGTTTGGGTCGCGGGTGGGTCGCGGGCTCTCCACCTCCACCTGAAAGGAACTCAAAAGCAGCCCGCCGCAGGCGCCGAAAAATTTGATTTGTACACTGAACGCGGTTTGGGTCGCGGGTGGGTCGCAGGTTCTCCACCTGGAACGAACGCAAAAGAAGCCCGCCGCAGGCGCCGAAAATTTTGGGTGGGTCGCGGGGTGGGTCGCGGGTGGGTCGCGGGTGGGTCGCGGTGGGTCGCGGGTGGGTCGCGGGCGCGGTTTGGGTCGCGGGTGGGTCGCAGGTTCGCCACCTGGAACGATTGCAAAAAAAACCCGCCGCAGGCGCCGAAAATTTTGGGTGGGTCGCGGGGTGGGTCGCGAGTGTGTCGCGGGTGGGTCGCTGGTGGGTCGCCAGGGGGGCCGCGGGTGGGTCGCGGGTGGGTCGCGGGGTGGGTCGCGGGTCGGTCGCGGGTGGGTCGCCGGTGGGTCGCCAGGGGGGCCGCCAGGGGGGTCTCGGGGTGGGTCGCGGGCGGGTCGCGGGGTGGGTCGCGGGTGGGTCGCGGGTGGGTACGACGACAACAACAACAAACAACAAACAACAAACACAAAAACAAAAACACCAACGACAACAACAACATCATCAACAACAACAACAATTACTAGCACGTGGGGACACTCCGTTCTCACCAGCGCCAGGGTTTTCATAGGAGGCGGGCAATACCCCCACTTTGTGGGGGGGCCGGTTCAAGCTCTACCAAATTTCCAAACGACTCTTCGCCACCACCCACACCCAGCTTCCCGCCCTATGACGTTCGGACACTTCACTTCGTGGCATGCGGACGACCGTGGCTACTATTCAGGGCCCCGCGGCCGACGACGACGGCGTGCGCGCGCGAAGAAAAAACGAATGTGTCCCGCATGGTATTATTTGACAGGGATGATGGCCCTGGCAGGTGCGCAACCGTTGTCGCAGAAGTTCGAAAAAGTTGCTCGCAAAAGCCCGTTTGACAGAAATGTTTAAAAAGTGTTGGGTTTCCTACGAATCCGCAAGAGCGCGCGGGATGAGATTTTGACATTTTTTTGTTGAAAAACCATTGGTTTTTTGATGTTTTTATGTTAAAATCGTTCCGAACACTAAGCTTTTGGAAGGATTTCGTCTTGCGCGCGCGAATGTCCACTTTACCTTATTTTTTGCAAGGGATTCTTGAAATTTGATTATATTAGAACAAGAAATGTCATTTTATAGTGTTTTTTGCAAGGGAAAACGGATTACAACAAAACAACCGGATCTGGATCACATCGTTTTACCTGAGGCTTCCTCACGAAAATGATGAAAATGTAGCTGCGGCCTAGGCGGCGCAGGGGGGGCGCGCACCAGGGTGCCCAACAATAATTATTCTTTAGAATAAATAATGTTCAATAACAACAACAACAGCAAGAATCCGCATCGCGGAATTCCACTTCAGCCACGCACCCAGGGACAGTGAATGACCGTTCGGTTCAGCCCCCACAATCTGATATGGATAGCAACACTGCATTACACAGCTTACACCACACAGCTCGCCCCACACAGCTTACACATCCACAGTGCGATGACTCACCGTTTGGGGTGGCCGCTGGCAACATGCCATGAGCACATGGTCTACCTCTCCGAGCTGTTGGTGGCGGGCCTGCAGGACTCCCTCGGGGATTGGCCGGCCGTGCTCAAGCCGAGGTACTCGACCGTGGTCCAGGGACCCCCCCTTGATTGAGCGCAGCCGTCTGGCTTTCGGGCAGAAGGCTCGCCTTCCTCCTCCTCCTCCTCCTCCTCCTCCTCCTCCTCCTCCTCCTCCTCCTCCGCCTCCTCCCCCTCCCCTCCTCCTCCTCCGGAGGAGGAGGAGGAGGAAAGGTGCCCTCCTCGGACCCTGCAGGTTCCCTCCGGGGCCCTAGAGGTCTCCTCGAGGGGCCCTTGAGGGCCCCTCGGCAGCCCTCGCTGCCCCCCCCCCCCCCCCATGGAGCGTTGCCCAGCCTCCAGATGACCGGCAGAGCCGAGGGCAGCCAGGCAACAATCGGGTCCACGGTCGAACCCGTAGACCTGCATCTCTCTTGTGGCCCATTTTTCTCGAACGAACAGGATTCCAGGAAGATTCCATATATAGACTTTGATCCATATTCACCGAATTCGAGGCCGGTTCCAATCATCATTCCAGGTCCTGTCCGTTTCTGATCTTTCGCTGGCGATTTGGGCCAGCAGATCATGGCCTCGCTGCTACATCGTTGTGTGATTTGCCTGTCCTTGCATCTATCGCTTCGCACAGAGGCCCTTCAACTGCATGAGGAGAAACCTTTATGGGAATACGTTGACCTCGAAGTCAAGCCACAGCATCTTCAGAAGATTCGTCGGACTCGTCGAGCTTGGCCGATGCCTGCTAATTTCACTGACCCCAAAATTGGTACAGGAGGTCATGGACACACTTTTCCAGGGGCGACAACACCATGGGGCATGGTACAGGTGACGCCGTGGATTCATGATAGCGGGGGTGCTTCCTCATGGGATACACAAAGTGGCTATCATGCAGATGTGGATCAGGCAAGATTTTATGGGATGGCTCATACGGCCCTCAGCGGAGCTGGATCTGGGGAAATGGGCGAGTTGCGCCTGCTCCCCTTGGGCCAAGGACATGACTCGTATATGCATTTAAACATGAAGACAGTCACTGCATCGGTTGGCTACTTTTCTGCGTATGTTATGCCACGTCGCGGAGGGAGCAGGAACAAGATTCAGGGGGGCGTCTTTGTCGAAAGCACTGCTGCCCAGCGTGGTGGTATCCACAAGTTCACATTTCGTGCAAATCGAAGGCCCTCAATTGAAGTTGCCCTAGGTGATATTCCCGATGCGTTCTGGGGCTACCAGTTAGTGGATCATACACTGGGGAATGTTTCAGACAGGCAAGTTGAGGGTTGCGCTTCAAGTAGAATTACCGGGATCGGACAGGCAACCTCTTTGTTGTGCTTCGCCATTGAGTTCAATCAGCCTTTCTCCAATGTCATCGTCAAGGCTGGTAGCATCGTCTTAGATTTCGGTTTGAGTGAAAACATCGTGCATGCACTCGTTGGCGTGAGCCGCACAGATATGGAGCATGCGCGTGGTAGTCTGTCTGATTTGAAGTCGCAAGGACGTGGTTTTGCGGGGTTTGTTGCTTCGGCACGCGAGATGTGGACCAGGGCACTGGGTGTGGTGAAGGTTGACATGGAGGGTGCGTCGCGCAAGACCGTGCTGTACACGGCCCTTTACCACTCTATGATTTCACCCAGCCTGCTCTCCGATGCAGATGGTTCGTACCGCTTGCAGGGAGCCCTCGATCCAAGTTCGGGTTCTTACTCAAAGATGGGCGAGGGTTTGCTTCTGAGTGAGGTGAATGCAAAAATGCCCATACGCCGAGCCAAACACGGCATGCACATGTATTCCACGTTTTCTCTTTGGGACACCTACCGAACACTGCACCCACTCATGAATTTGATCCATCCAGACATGTCCAAGCAGTTCGGCGGCTCTCTGATGACGATGGCAGAGACCTGGGGATATCTGCCTCCGTGGCAGCTGATCCAGAGCCCCGCCGACATGATGAATGGGGATGGTGGGAGCATCGTCTTGGGGACCATGGCCAGGAATGGTATACTTGACAGTAAAGGAGTATTCGAAGTTGTCAGGTCGGTGAGGAGAGCCCCAGTCGATGAACGCAAGTATCTGGACGATAATGGCGTCGTGCCCGAAGCCATACCAGAAGTGGCGTATTCTGTAGTTCCAGAGCACGTGTCAAGATTCTTGGAGCAAGCGAAGGCCGATCACTGTGTTAGCAGTCTTGCCAGTGACCTACAGATGACATCAGATGCCGAATACTTCCACAGGCGTTCAGACTTGATCTTTGGCATGTGGAACGAAACTCTTGAGGTCTTCAGCACAGACCGTGGGAACATCATGGAGGACAACATGGAGAACATGGACAACATGGATAACATGAATTACAGGGAGAGTAGGGACATACCGATTGCGAGCAACACTGAGGGAAGTAGTGATGAGGAAATTGAGGGAAGTGTTAGTGAGGGAAGTGGTACTAGGGAACAGGTGAACACACTTGACACGCAGACTGAAGCCTATACAGAGGGAAGTGCAAGGCAGTATTCATGGGCAGCGGATTTCGACATGGGAAAAATGATGCAGCTGCGAGGCGGAAAAGAACGGATGGCCTGCAAGCTTGATCAGTTTTTCGATGGGTCCACTCAGACTGGACAAGCCGACATGTCGGGCAACATGGGTTCGGCGAGTTTGGGCAACGAGCCCACGATGCACACCCCGTTCCTCTATAGCCGTATTGGCTACCCTTCGAGGACTCAGTTCCAGGTCGACCGGGCCGTGAAGGAGCTTTTCTCGGATGGTCCAGGTTGGGCGGTGAGCGAAAGGGGAAGTGAGAACCAGAAGGCCGTATCAGAAGGCGGCGGGTCCTTTCAGAAGC